ATAGAATGGAGGGGCTGTTTTAATTATTGTATGAATAGCAGCTGGCAAAGGTAAGAGGATGCAAGACAGCATTTAGGCTAGCTTGAGTAGGTTGTGTTTAAAGGTTTCAGGTGGCTTTACATCAGACCTGGGCAAAGTGCAGCCCTCCAGATGTTGCTGAACTTCAAATCCCAACACTCCTCATTATTGGCTGGGCTACGGTTGCTGGGAGTTGCAGTTCAGCAACATCTGGAGGACCACATTTTGCCCAGGTCTGCTTTACATAGCTGCACTGGACTAGAGTGTCTGTGGCAGATTATTTGGATCATGACATATGGGTTATCCCATTCCTTCTTTGGGTTGATGTGTACACACAATAATAAAGTTATGATCAAATGATTAACACAGCCAGGGGTCTCCCGCCTATCCTTCCCAGGTTCCAAAGATCTGATTCGCTTCTTCACAGCGCTCTTTCATAAACCTCACCTATTTGGGAAGCAGCAATATTGGTAGTTTTGCGATCACAGAGTGAAGAAACTGGCAATCCTAATTCAGCCTCCTTGTCTCCCTGGAAATGGGGGGTTGGGGAGGGAAAGGAGAATGCACACACATGTGAGGGTGAACAACACATATTACTGCTACATTAAATTCTCTTCCATTCTAATCTAAAAGCAGTTCAAAAGTAAATAGTATTGGTTCCAAATTTATGTTCTGAAATAAGAAAAAAGTTTTCCCAAATTTTAGAAATGAAAAATTAATGGCAAGACACACATGGTATCAGACTGTAAGAACACAGGATATTTTTCAGGATTGACTTTATTAGCAAAAACCTCCATGGAAAACTGGAGACAGACTTTTTAGCCTTTGATAACTTCAGTGCATTAGATTTCATTGTCATTATTCTTGTTTGCATCTGATAATTGATTATTTGCTTAAATATTATGAAGTTAAAAATTGTTTAAAACTCAATGAAAGCTTTTAAATTAAAAAAATCAGGACAACCTGTGGAGGAGAACTTAATGCAATCAAATCATGTTTTCAGTTCCTATTATTAAAATGATATTCAACCCAGCTAACTGTTTCAGACATAATGGACAATCATAGTTTAACAAAATCATAATCAGTGTACTGAAACGAATACATAAAGGAGAGACTTTCAGATCTGACTTTGGTGTAATGAACCAGAGCATATTAAATCAGGATTATTATACATTAAAATGGTTATAATATAAAAAATGAATTAGTCTTCTCACTATGTAAAAAGCTGCTCTGTATGTGATAAAGCAGCCATAGTTCTCAACTAGGAACTTCAAATCAAATTTATGAAAGGCCGAGAGGAGAGTGTAAAATGTTCCTTATTTTAATAGGCTTCCTCATTTTACTATTTTTATATATTTATTACTGCTGTACTTATTTCCAGAAAGGAATATTATATGTTCATTATTGTAAGAGGCTCTCGTTATTTCTCTTGTATTTCTATTTTTATATGTTATATTTATATCTATTTATATCCAAACACATCAGAAAACAGAGAAATTTATAGACTGGTATACTTATTTCCAGAAAGGAATATGTTCATTATTGTAAGAGGCTCTCGTTATTTCTCTTGTATTTCTATTTTATATGTTATATTTATATCTATTTATATCCAAACACATCAGAAAACAGAGAAATTTATAGACTGGTTACCTGAATACTTCATGGCATGAACCTTAGAGGACAACGTATAGCGTCATTCATCTGCTTTGGAATACCCAAAGTTCATTAACTGCCATCTGGGAAATTGCATACCAGAGCAACTGAAGAAGGTGGAAGCCAAAAGGTTTCACTTAAATATTTATGTTTGTAAATCACTCTTACCAGTGGATCATTATCATTGTATATCTACCGCGTTTCCCCGAAAATATGACAGGGCCTTATATTAATTCTTTGCCCCCAAAATGCATTAGGACTTATTTTCAGGTGATATTTTATTTTACAGTTATGTGATCTTCTGGTTGCTGCACAATGGTGGAGGGCGGGGTTTCACTTAACTAGGGCTTATTTTGGGGGTAGGGCTTATATTACGAGCATCCTGAAAAATCATACTAGAGCTTATATTCAGGTTAGGTCTTATTTTCGGGGAAACAGGCTGCTGTATATATTTATATAGTACAAATGATATATTTTTCAGTAAACATATTGGATAAATCTTGTTTCCAAAAACCTAACCCTGAATGTCTTCATGTGAAGTATTGTTAGGTATTTTTTTAGTGTTTTGTTGTTATTATCCTGTAGCTGTTTTCTGAAGCACAACCATAAGGACTGGAAATTAGGGTTCATTTCCTGAATGTCTTGAAAAACAACATTTACAAACTCTCAAGCCATATATGGGTGTTCACCTTTCATATTAAAATGTTAATGAAACCTGTTCCCCCTTGAAATAGAATGGAATACTTTAAAAGTATATATTTAGCCAGGAGGTAAGTAGTGTCGCGAGAGGCACACCTATTTTAAAAATACTGCAGTCAGGACAGACCCTGCTATGTGCTCGCCACCTCCGTCAAGGTGAGCATCTAACTGGTATGCCACCTAGCAGGAGAGACTTGCCCCAGTTTTACAGCAGCTATTCTTAGCCAGCTTATTTGGTTTTCTTCAATGTGAAGTTCTTGAGGAAGTGTATTCAAATATCACTGTTTTCCTCTTTGAGGAAAAGTACCACTTGTTTCTTAGCAAGGTAAGAGAGGGAATTTCAAATTCCTCTTCAGACTTGTAGCTTATTCACCTTTGGCAAGGAAACTTGGATTTGTCTGTGGGGGATAAAATTGTTTGGGAAGAAGAGGGGTCTCTTCCTGTTGGAATTCTTTGAAAGAAAAGACATTAAAATAAATATGACATTAAAATAAATAGGAAGGGACATGCCCAGCTTAATCTTATGCAGGTTTACTTGGAAGCAAATCCCACTGTTCAGTTTTTATGCTTGGGGTGAGTCATTTTGTGAGATATGTATCCAATAAAAGAACAGATATAGACAAACATCAGATAAACAAACATGAATAGGATTGCAAGTCCTTAGGCATTCCTGCACATTGAGGCTGAAATATTGTTGTGCAGCTCTGTGAGTACATTGATGGTGATGCTGTCTGCTGCGGCAAATCCTAGATGATTAAAAACCTCCTTTGGTGGTTTTGGGGTGTATGTGACTTTGTCACATTGTGTATGAGGCACGCACACCCTGTAATGGCCTGTAACCAGTGGCAATTTGCAGCTGCTACATTGCACACACAGAGCTATAGAACAGGATTCCAGCCACTATGCATCACAAATGCTTTCTTTGAGTAAAGTATCGTTAAAATTATAATAGCATTAAAGCAAGGAGAATGACTGAAATATCTAGAAGGAGATTTATAATGTATGTGTGCAAACATGTTTTGAAAACAGCACCTGTTGAAAAAATTCTTCCATTAACGCTTCTGCCCATCGTTGGTGCAGAGTCCAAGGCTTTGCTGGGTGGCTTACGTCGGCAGCATGTACAACCATAGACATAATCTTATCTTTGTGTGCCCTGTTAAATGAAGGATATTCTCCAATTACCTCAGCACAGATGTAGTAATTTCCCTTAGGCAAGGAGTACTTCAAAAGTCTTTTTTAACAGTCCACCCTCAGTCAGCATGGGAACCCTCCCCTCCCCTCTTTTGTTGGCAAACAGGCATCAGCAAGCAGCTAAAAGGTTAAATTAGGGATTCAGCCCCTGAAAATGGAAATAATTAGCCCAGTACCATTTCCTCTTTGGCAAGAAATCCCATCCATATTTCTTCTTCTAGGAAAATAAAAAAAAATCTAGTGTTTTTTAGACACATGCGTTGAGACAGGAAGGAAAAAGAGATAGTAGTTCTAGTTCACTAGCACTTTAATCACAGCTCAAATATACATCGTCTAGAGGGGATTTGGAATGGTCAGGAGCACATGACTGCTGCATGATCTGCTGTCACAACCAGATCATCTGGCCCAACGACTGTGCTGGATGAGGCGAGCCAACTGAAGAACCCATAAGAGGGGCAGAGGTGGAGATCTGCTGGGTTGCAGCATATCCAAAGTCCTCTCAGCTCAAACTAACAGCTAATGTGCTGGTACAAAGTGAAGCCGGGCTCAGGCTTGTCCTAAGTAATCTTCAACATCCGTAGGGTGCGGTGGGAGGGGTTTGGGTTCAGCCTCAGCTATTTTGCCTAGTGAGGGTTATCCTATTAGGTGGAGAGGCAGGGAGCCATGGCTGCCCCCTCACTTCTCAGGAACAAAGGATTATCGTCTCCTCTGTCCAATTGCAGAGAAGTCAGGAAGGGAATGCAAGAAGGAAGGATGTGACATCCGCAAATCTAAAAATATTTGCCCAGGGTGGAGGAAGAGTAGGATAGGTTGGATAAAGACCACTCTACAACATCCAAAGACAAAGACATCCATTTTCAGTGTAAGCTGAGTTGTATCCCGTCACCTCCAACATCTACAACCAACCTTTCCAGTTGCTGATGATGCTCCAGAATATGCTTAATGCTACTCATTTGCTGGAAATGATGTGACATGTCTGTAGCTAAAACCATCTCAATGACCAGGCGGCGGAGTTCCCTGGAAACAATCAGACAGATCTAGTGTTTATTGTGCTCTCTAAATAAGGGCTTTAAAACATTTTGCACCATCTTTCAGAGTTCCAAGTCCTGGGATACAATCTGTTACACTGTCTGCTATCATGAAAACAAAAATTAGTTCCATTAATTCCAACCCCTTTATCTCCAATTTGCTCTTTTTAAAGCTATTTATATGCTCTGTATTCTGTTGGCCTTGACTTCCGTGCCCTGTCCTGCCTTTAGTACTTGAGAAAGGACTGCTGGATGACCTGACTGTTTAGCTCCATTAAGACATTTCACGAGGGTGCAACTACCCTAGAATTTGTTCTTTGTGCTGCAATTCTCACTGTTAATTTCAATGTAGTATTTTCTATCAACAACATGGCATAAAGTTAATCCCGAATAAAACTAATCCTTTTCCTTAGATCTTCTGTAGCTTTTGTTCAGCCAGCAGAGCTGGATTTTTGCACCTCCATTGTGTTGTTTCACTTCCTGGCTTGTGTGATTTCCCTTTTCTGGGACAGCAAATGTGTGGTTCCTGGCCACACTGAGGATGACATCTTCAGTAGGGCTAGGTGTGGTGGTTCAGCATTACCTTCTTCAGGTTAATAGCTCTAGGGTGGACATCTTATATTTCCTATTTTTTTTTCTTTAAATGTTAGTGTCCAGCACTATGTCAGATTACTGATTGACTGGGACTGCTTAAAGGATGTTCAGAAACAAAGCCTTTAAACTATGGTGTTGCATGAAGTGTACTCACACACTTGTCACACACAGACTGTTGCATCTGGTGAGCATATAGGGGGAGAGAAGAGTGAGAGCCTATGGTGTTGCATGCAGTGTACTCACTTGTCACACACAGACTGTTGCATCTAGTGAGCATATAGGGGGAGAGAAGAGTGAGAAGAAACCTTTCACCCTAGGAGAGGGAGGAAAGGGGATCCCTCCCCACACCAACCAACCTTTCTCTTTTCAATTATCTCTAGAAATGAGGATATTTTTATACGAATACAAATATCCCCATGAAGCTGGACCTAATGAGGGTCCGCCCCCACCCCCGAGGCCAGACTGTCCTCTCACGTGTCCTGCTGCCGCACCAGTCTTGCTCATCCTTCCAATTGCACCGGGAGTGCTGCTCTTTTCCCACTCAGCTGGCCACCCAGTAGCCGTGTGTTTGCCACTCAGCTGGCCACCCAGTAGCCGTGTGGGGAAACGCGTCCTCCTGCTCCCTGCCTAGAGTGGCCAGCCAAGCAGGAAGAAGAGTGGTGCTCTGGGCATGAGTGGAAGGCTGAGTGGGACCATGACTGCAGCAGGATACATGAGTGGATGGTCCGTCCTTGTGGATTTTTCCTGTGTCATACATACTTCATACATTTCAGGTTACTAATTTAATTGTTAACCTGGAGATTGTTTGCATGTTTGGGCCAGTAAAAGCCTATTGGCAACTGACGACATTTTTAAATTTCTGATCTGCCATGACAAGTGTACTTAAAAGATGTAATGTGGACATTTTCTATTGCTTTCTATTGCTTTTCATAATGAAGACCAGCTGGCTGCATGTGGCCTCCAATTATTACTGACATTATTTGTTGTTGTTTAGTCGTTAAGTTGTGTCCGGCTCTTCGTGACCCCATGGACCAGAGTACGCCAGGCCCTCCTGTCTTCCACTGCCTCCTGGATTTGGGTCAAATTCATGCTGGTCACTTCAATGACACTGTCCAACCATCTGATCCTCTGTTGTCCCCTTCTCCTCTTGCCTTCACACTTTCCCAGTATCAGCATCTTTTCCAGGGAGTCTTCTCTTCCTCATGAGATTGGAGCCTCAGCTTCACCATCTGTCCTTCCAGTGAGCACTCAGGGTTGATTTCCTTCAGAATGGATAAGTTTGTTCTCCTTGCAGTCCAGGGGACTCTCAAGAGCCTCCTCCAGCACCACAATTCAAAAGCATCAATTCTTCAGCGGTCAGCTTTCTTTATGGTCCAGCTCTCACTTCCATACAACACT